CCTTGCATTGCCTTGCCTTGTGCCTTGCCTTGTCCCTTCCCTTGCCTGCCTTGTACCTTGATTTGCCTTGCCTTGTGCCTTGCCATGCCTTGTCTTGCTTTGCCTTTTGCCTTGTCTTGCTTTGCCTTTTGCCTTGTCTTACACTGTGCCTTGTCTTGCCTTGTGCCTTGCTTTGCCTCGTTCCTTGCTTTGTTCTGTGCTTACTTTGCCTTGCTTCGTGCCTTGCTTTGGCTTGCCTTGACTTGGGCCTTGTCTTGCGTACCTTGCTTTCTGCCTTACCTTGACTTGCCCTGCCTTGTACCTTGCCTTGCCTTGATTTTTGCTTTGTCTTGCCCTTTCCTTGTGGCTTTCCCTGACTTGCCTTGCCCCTTGCCCCTTGCGTTGCCTTTTGCCTTCACTTGCCTTGCTGTGTGCCTTTTCTTGCATGGTGCCTTTACTTGCCTTGTGCCTTGCTTTGCCTCATGCCTGGGCTTGCCTTGCCTTGCTTTACCCTGCACTTTGCATTGCCTTGCCTTGCCTTGTGCCTTGCCTTGCCTTGTGCCTTGCCTTGCCTTGTGCATTGCCTTGCCTTGCTTTGTGCCTTGCCTTGCATTCCGCCTTGCCTTGCCTTCTACCTTTCCTTGCTTTTCCTTGCCATGCCTTGTGCCTTGCCTTGCCTTGCCTTGTGCCTTGCCTTGCCTTGACTTGTGCATTGATTTGCCTTGCCTTGTTACTTGCCTTCTCTTGGCTTGTGACTTGTCTTGCCTTGCCTTGTTCCTTGCTTGTGCCTTCGTGTCCTTTACCTTGTGCCTTACCCTGTCTTGCCTTGCCTTATACCTTGCATTGCCTTGCCTTGTGCCTTCCCTTGCCTTGTAACTTGCCTTGCCTTGTAACTTGCCTTATGCCTTGCCTTGCCTTGTGACTTGCCTTGCGCCATGCCTTGCCATGCCTTGTCTTGCACTGTGTTGCCTTGTGCCTTGATTTGCCTTGGCTTGTGCCTTGATTTGCCTTACCTCGTGCCTTGCCTTATCTTGTGCCTTGCCTTACCTCGTGCCTTGCCTTGTTCTATGCCTTACCTTGCCTTGTCTTGTGCCTTGCCTCATGCCTTGCTTTGACTTGCCTTGCCTTGATTTGCCTTGCTTGTGCCTTGTGTTGCCTTGCCTTGCCTTGATTTTTGCTTTGCCTTGCCATTTCCTTGCGGCTTGCCCTGACTTGCCTTGTCCCTTGCCCCTTGCCTTGCCTTTTGCCTTCACTTGCCTTGCTTTGTCTAGTGGCTTGACTTGTCTTGTGCCTTGCCTTCCCTTCTCTTGCCTTTTGCTTGTGTTGCCTTGTGCCTTGCCTTGCTTTGCCTTGGCCTTGCATTGCCTGGCTTTGCCTTGCCTTGTGACTTGACTTGCCTTGCCTTGCCTTGCTTGTCTTGTCTTGTCTTGCCTTGCCTTGCCTTGTCTTGCCTTGCCCTGTGCCTTGCCTTGTGCTTTCCCTTGCCTTGCCTTGTGCCTTGCGTTACCTTTGCTTGTGCCTTGCCTTGCCTTGCCATGCTTTGTCTTGCCTTTTTTAGTCTTGCCTTGTGCCTTGCTTTGCTCTGTGGCTTTCCTTGTGCCTTGTGCTTTGCATTGCCTTGCCTTGCCCTGTGCCTTGCCTTGTGCCTTGCCTTGCCTTGCCTTGTGTTGCTTGGTGCCTTGCCTTGTGTTGCTTTGTGCCTGTCTTGCCTTGCTTTGTGCTTTGCCTTGCCTTTTGCCTTGCTTTGTGCCTTGGCTTGCCTTATGCCTTGCCTTGCTTTGCCTTGTCATGCCTTGTGCCTTGCCTTCCCTTCTGCCTTGCCTTGCCTTGCCTTGCATTGCTTTGCTTTGCTTTGCTTTGCCTTGCCTTGCCTTGCCTTGCCTTGCACTTTGATTTTCATTACCTTGTTACTTGCCTTCCCTTGGTTTGTGCCTTGCATTCCCTTGTGCCTTGCCTTGCCATATGCCTTGGTTTGCTTTGCCTTGTGCCTTGCCTTGCCTTGGCCTTGTTTTTCCTGGCTCTTTCTTGCCTTGTGCCTTGCCTTGTATCTTGCCTGTGGCTTACATTGCCTTGCCTTTTGCCTTGCCTTGCCTTGTTTTGTGCCTTGATTTGCCTTGCCTTGCCTTGGCTTGTGCCTTGCCTTGTAACTTGCCTTGCCTTGTGCCTTCCCTTGCTACGTCTTGTCTCTCCTTTCCTTTCCTGGCCTTGTTTTGCCTTGTGCCTTGCCTTGCCTTGCTTATGCCTTGTCTTGTATCTTGTCTTGCCTTGTCTTGTGCCTTGCCTTGCCTTTCCTTGCTTGTGCCTTACCTTGCCTGGTGCCTTGCCTTGACTTGGCCTTGCCTTTCCTGGTGCCTTGCCTTGTGCCTTGCCTTGCCTTGGCCTTGTCTTTCCTGGCTTTGCCTTGCCTTGTGCCTGGCCTGGCCTTGCCTTGCCTTGTGCCTTTCCTTATGCTTTCCCTTGCCTTGCCTTGCCTTGTGCCTTGATTTGCCTTGCCTTGTGCATTGCATTGCCTTGGCTTGCACCTTGCCCTGTGCTTTGCCTTGCCATGCCTTGTCTTGCCTTTCCTAGTCTTTCTTTGTGCCTTGCCTTGTGGCTTGCCTTGTGTTTTGGCTTGCCTTGCCTTGTGCTTTGCATTGCCTTGCCTTCCCCTGTGCCTTGCCTTCCCCTGTGCCTTGCCTTGTGTTGCCTTGTGCCCTGCCTTGTATTGCTTTGTGCCCTGCCTTGCCTTACCTTGTGCCTTGCCTTGCCTTGCCTTGTGTGTTGATTTGCATTGCCTTGTTACTTGCCTTCCCTTGGCTTGTGCCTTGATTTGCCTTGCCTGGTGCCTTGCATTGTGTTGCCTTGTGTCTTGATTTGCCTTGCCTTGTGCCTTGATTTGCCTTGCCTTGTGCCTTGCCTTGCCTTGTAAGTTGCCTTGCCTTGTGCCTTACCTTGCCATTCCTTGTCTTTCCTTGCCTTGTGCCTTGCCTTGACTTGCTTGTGCCTTGCCTTGCCTTGCCTTGTGCCTTGCCTTGTGCCTTGCCTTACCTTGCCTTGCCTTGTGTCTTGCATTGTTCCGTGCCTTACCTTGCCTTGCCTTGTGCCTTGTTTGGTTTGCCTTGACTAGGGCCTTGCCTTGTTGTGCCTTGCTTTCTGCCTTGCTTTGACTTGCCTTGCCTTGCCTTACTTTTTCCTTTGCCTTGCCATTCTCTTGTGCCTTGTCTTGACTTGCCTTGCACCTTGCCTTGCCATTTGCCTTCCCTTGCCTTGCTTTGTGCCTTGATTGCCTTGCTGGTGCCTTGCCTTGCCTTGTGCCTTGCCTTCCCTTCACTTGCCTTGCCTTGCCTTCACTTGCCTTGCCTTGTGCCTTCCCTTGCCTTGCCTTGTGCCTTCCTTTGCCTTGGCCTTGGCTTTGCCTTGCCTGGCTTTGCCTTGCCTTTTGCCTTTCATTGCCTTGCCTTATTTCTTGCCTTGTGCTTTCCCTTGCCTTGCCTTGTGCCATGATTTGCCTTGCCTTGTGATTTGCCTTGCCTTGCATTGCATGCCTTGCCTTGCCTTGCATTGCCATGCCTTGTCTTGCCTTGCATTGCCATGCCTTATCTTGCCTTCCCTTGTTTGTCCCTTGCCTTGCGCCTTGTCTTGCATTGTGCCTTGTCTTGCCTTGCCTTGATTTGACTTGTGCCTTGCCTTGACTTGTGTCTTGCCTTGTGTTGCCTTACCTTTTGCTTTGCATTGCCTTGCTTTGCCTAGCATTGCCTTGTTCCTTGCCTTACGTTTTCCTATGCCTTCCCTTTCCTTGCTTTGTGCCTTGCCTTGCTTTGTGCCTTGCCTTGCGTTCTGCCTTGCCTTGCATTCTGCCTTGCCTTGCGTTCTGCCTTGCCTTGCGTTCTGCCTTGCCTGCATTCTGCCTTGCCTTGCATTTTGCCTTGCATTTCCTTGCCTTGTGTCTGGCCTTGCCTTGCCTTGTATCTTGCCTTGCCTTGTGCCTTGCCTTGTCTTGCCTTGCCATGCCTTGTCCTGCCTTCCCTTGCCTTGCCTTGCACCTTGCCTTGCCTTGCCTTGCCTTGCTTTGCCTTGCACTTTTCCTTGTCTTGCCTTGCCTTGCCTTGCCTTGTGTCTTGCCTTGTGCCTTGCCTTGCCTTGCTTTGCCTTGCACTTTGCATTGCCTTGCCTTTTGCCTTGCCTTGCTTCCTGCCTTGCTTTGTCTTGTGCCTTACCTTGCTTTGTGCCTTGCCTTGCCTTGCCTTCTGCCTTTCCTTGTGCCTTGCCTTGGTGTGCCTCGCTTTCTGCGTTGCCTTGACTTGCCTTGCTTTGTGTCTTGCCTTAACTTGCTTTTTGCTTTGCCTTGACTTGCGCCTTGCCTTGCCTTTTGCCTTCGCTTGCCTTGCTTTGTGCCTTGGCTTGCCTTGCATTGCCTGGTGCCTTAACTTGCCTTGTGCCTTGCCTTCCCTTCATTTGTCTTTTGGCTTCCTTGTCTTTCCTTTTGCCTAGGTTTGCCTTGCCTGGCTTTGCTTAGCCTTTTGCCTTGCCTTGCGTCTTGCCTTGTCTTGCCTTGCACCTTGCATTACCTTGCCTTATGCCTTGCCTTGCTTCCTGCCTTGCTTCGCCTTGCTTTGCCTTGCTTTGTGCCTTGCCTTTTCTTGTGCCTTACCTTGCTTCCTGCCTTGCTTTGCTTTGTGCCTTACATTGCCTTGTGCCTTGACTTTCCTTCTGCCTTGTCTTGTGCCTTGCCTTGCTGTGCCTCACTTTCTGCCTTGCCTTGACTTGCCTTGTGCCTTGCCTTGCCTTGCTTTTTGCTTTGCCTTGCCTTGCCATTCCCTTGTGCCTTGACTTGACTTGTGCCTTGCCTTGCCTTTTGCCTTCACTTGCCTTGCTTTGTGCTTTGCCTTGCTTTGCCTGGTGCCTTAACTTGCCCTGTGCCTTGCCTTCCCTTCACTTGTCTTTTCCTTGCCTTGCCTTTCCTTGTGCCTAGCCTTGCCTTAGCCTTGCCTTGCCTGGCTTTGCCTTGCCTTTTGCCTTGCCTTGTCTTGTCTTGCCTTGCCATATGCCTTGCATTGCCTTGCCTTGTGCCTTGCCTTCTGCTTTTCCTCGCCTTGCCCTGTGCCTTCATTTGCCTTACTTTGTGCCTTGCCTTGTCTTGTACCTTGCCTTGTCTTGTGCCTTGGCTTGCCTTGTGCCTTGGCTTGCCGTGCTGTGTGCTTTGCATTGCTTTGCATTGCCTTGTGCCTTACCTTGCCTTGCCTTGTTCCTTGCCTTGCTTTATGCCTTGCCTCGTTTTCTGCCTTGGTTTGCCTTGTGCCTTACCTTGCCTTGCTTTCTGCCTTGCCTTGCCTTGCCTTGCTGTGCCTTGTCTCGCCTTCCCTTGCCTTGCCTTGTGCCTTGACTTGCCTTGCCTTGCTTTGCCCTGTGCTTTGCATTGCCTTGCTTTGCCTTGTGCCTTGCCTTGGCTTGTGCCTTGCCTTGCCTTGTGCCTTGCCTTGTCTTGTGGCTTCCCTTGCATTGCTTTGCCTTGCTTTGTGCCTTGCATTGCCTTGCATTGTGCCTTGCCTTGACTTGACTTGTTCATTGATTTCCTTGTCTTGTTACTTGCCTTCCCTTGGCTTGTGCCTTGCTTGTGCCTTGGTTTCCTTTGCCTTGTTCCTTACCTTGTCATACCTTGCCTTGTACCTTGCATTGCCTTGCCTTGTGCCTTCCCTTGCCTGCCTTGTGCCTTGCCTTGCCTTGTCTTGTGCCTTGCCTTGCCTTGCCTTGTGATTTGCCTTGCCTTGTCTTGCCTTGTGCCTTGCCTTGCCTTGCCTTATGCATTGCCTTGTTTTCTGCCTTGGTTTGCCTTGTGCCTTGCCTTGTCTTGCTTTCTGTCTTGCTTTGCCTTGTGCCTTGCCTTGCCTTGTGTCTTGCTTTGTTTTGCCTCATGCCTTGCCTTGCTTTCTGCCTTGCTTTTTCTTGTGCCTTGCCTTGCCTTCCTTGTGCCTTGCCTTGCCTTCCTTGTGCCTTGCCTTGCAACTTGCCTTGTGCCTTGCCTTGCTGTGCCTTGTTTTGCCTTCCCTTGGCTTGCCTTGTGCCTTGCTTTGCCTTGCCTTGTGCCTTGACTTAGCCTTGCCTTGCTTTGCCCTGTGCTTTGCATTGCCTTGCTTTGCCTTGTGCCTTGCCTTGCTTGTGGATTGTCTTGCCTTATGCCTTGCCTTGCCTTTCTTGTGCCTTGCCTTGCCTTGCCTTGTTCCTTGCCTTGTTCTGTGCCTTATCTTGCCGTGCCTTGTGCCTTGCTTTGGTTTGCCTTGATTTCGGCCTTGCCTTGGTATGCCTTGCTTTCTGCCTTGTCTTGACTTACCTTGCCTTGTGCTTTGCCTTGCCTTAATAATTGCTTTGCCTCACCATTTCCTTGTGCCTTGCCCTGACTTGCCTTGTGCCTTGCCTTAACTTGCCTTTTGCCTTCACTTGCCTTGCTTTGTGCCCTTGCCTTGCCTGGTGCCTTGCCTTGCCTTGCCTTGTGCCTTGCCTTGCCATGGCCTTGCTGTGCATTGCTTTGCCTTGCCTTGTGGCTGGACTTGATTTGCCTTGAGATATGCTTTGCCTTGTCTTGTCTTGCCTTGCGCCTTGCGTTGCCTTGCGCCTTGCGTTGCCTTGGTTTGTGCCTTGCCTTGCCATGCCTTTTCTTGCCTTTGTTAGTCTTGCCTTGTGCCATGCCTTGCCTTGCCTTGTGGCCTGCCTTGTACCTTGGCTTGCCTTGTGCTTTGCATTGACTTGTGCCTTGCCTTGTGCCTCGTGTTGTGCCTTGCCTTGTATTGCTGTGTGGTTTGCCTTGCCTTGCCTTGCCTTGTCTTGCTTTGAACTTTGCCTTGCCTTGTGCCTTGCCTTGCCTTGCCTTGCCTTGCCTTCTGTTGTGCCTTGCATTGCCTTGCCTTGTGCCTTCTCTTGCCTAGTTTTGTGCCTTGATTTGCCTTGCCTTGTGCCTTGCCTCATTATGCCTTGTCTCTCCTTGCCTTTGTACCCTACCTTTGTGCCTTGCCTTGTCTTGTGCCTTGTGCCTTGCTTTGTGCCTTGCCTTGTCTTGTGCCTTGCTTTGCATTGCATTGACTTGCCTTGTACCTTGACTTGACTTGTGCCTTGCCTTGTTACTTGCCTTGACTTGACATTGATTTGCATTGCCTCGTTACTTGCCTTCGCTTGGCTTGTGCCTTGATTTGCCTTGCTTTGTGCCTTGATTTGCCTTGTCTTGTGCCTTGATTTGCCTTGTCTTGTGCCTTGCCTTGCGCCTTGCCTTGCCTTGGCTTGTGCTTTCCCTTGCCTTGTAAATTGCCTTGCCTTGTAACTTGCCTTGCCTTGTACCTTGCCTTGCCATGCCTTGCCTTGTGTCGTGCATTTTTCTGTGCCTTACCTTGCCTTGACTTATGCCTTGTTTGGTTTGCCTTGACTAGGGCTTTGCCTTGTTGTGCCTTGCTTTCTCCCTTGCTTTGACTTGCCTTGCCTTACTTTTTGCTTTGCCTCGCCATTCTCTTGTGCGTTGTCTTGACTTGCCTTGCACCTGGCCTTGCCTTGCCTTTTGCCTTCGCTTGCCTTGCTTTGTGACTTGTCTTGCCTGATGCCTTGACTTGCCTTGTGCCTTGCCTTCCCTTCACTTGCCTTTTGCTTGCCTTGCCTTGCCTTGCGCCTGCTTTATGCCTTGATTTGCCTTGCCTTGCTTTGACTTGTAACTTGCCTTGCCTTGTGCCTTGCGTTGCCATGCCTTGCCATGCCTTGTGCCTTGATTTGCCTTGCCTTGTGCCTTGCCTTGCCTCATGCCTTGCATTGTTCTGTGCCTTACCTTGTCTTGCCTCGTGCCTTGCTTTGGATTGCCTTGACTAGGGCCTTGCCTTGCTGTGCCTTCTGCCTTGCCTTGACTTGCCTTACTCTTTGCTTTGCCTTGCCATTCCCTGTGCCTTGGCTTGGCTTGGCTTGCCTTGCCTTGCCTTTTGCCTTCACTTGCCTTGCTTGGTGCCTTGCCTTGCTTTGCCTGGTGCCTTGACTTGCCTTATGCCTTGCCTTACCTTCACTTGCCTTTAGCTTGCCTTGCCTTGACTTGTGCCTTGCCTTGCATTGCTTTGCCTTGCCTTGCCTGTCCTTGCCTTGCCTTGCATTGCTTTGCCTTGCCTTGTGCCTTGCATTGCCTTGCATTGTGCCTTGCCTTGCCTTGACTTGTGCAATGATTTGCTTTGTCTTGATACTTGCCTTCCTTTGGCTTGCTCCTAGCCTTGCCTTGTGCCTTACCTTGCTTTGTGCCTTGCTTGTAACTTGGTTTGCCTTGCCTTGTGCCTTGCCTTGTCTTCCCTTGCCTTGTGCCTTGCACTGCCTTGCCTTGTGTATTGCCGTGTGCCTTCCCTTGCCTTGCTTTGTGACTTGCCTTGCCATTTCCTTGTGCTTTGCCTTGCCTTTTGCCTTCACTTGCCTTACTTTGTGCCTTGCCTTCCCTTCGCTTGCCTTTTGTTTGCCTTGCCTTGTGCCTTGCCTGGCCTTGCTTTGCCTTGCGCCTTGCATTGCCTTGCACCTTGCTTTGTGCTTTGCATTGCCTTGCCTTGTGCCTTGTGTTGCCTTGCATTGCCTTGCATGTGCCTTGTCTTGTCTTGTGCCTTGCCTTGCATTGCTTTGCCTTGCCTTGTGCCTTGCATTGCCTTGCACCTTGCCTTGCCTTGCATTGACTTGTGCATTGATTTGCCTTGCCTTCCCTTGTGCCTTGCCTTGCTTTGCCTCCCTTGTGACTTGCTTGTGCCTTGGTTTGCCTTGCTTTGTGCCTTACATTGCCTTGCCTTGTGCCTTGCATTGCCTTGCCTTGTGCCTTGCATTGCCTTGCCTTGTGCCTTCCCTTGCCTTGTGCCTTGGCTTGTGCCTTGTCTTGGCTTGTGCCTTGTCTTGCCTTGTACTTGCCTTGCCTTGCTTATGCCTTGTCTTGTGCCTTGCCTTGCCTTGCCTTGCCTTGCACTCTCCCTTGCCTTGTGCCTTGCATTGTTCTGTGCTTTGCCTTGCCTTGCTGTGCCTTGCTTTCTGCCTTGCCTTGCCTTGCCTTGCTTTTTGCTTTGCCTTGCCATTCCCTTGTGCCTTGCCTTGCCTTGTGCCTTGGCTTTTGCCTTCACCTGCCTTCCTTTGTGCCTTGCCTTTCCTTTGCTGGTGCCTTGACTTGCCTTGTGCCTTGCCTTCCGTTCACTTGCCTTTTGCTTGCCTTGCCTTGCGCCTTGCCTTGTGTTGCCTTGCCTTGTGCCTTGCCTTGTCTTGCCTTACACCTTGCCTTGCGCCTTGCCTTGTGCCTTGCCTTATCTTGCCTTGCCTTGTGCCTTGCATTGCCTCATTGCCTTGCCTTGTGCCTTGGCTTGCCTTGCACCTTGCTTTGTGCTTTGCATTGCCTTGCCTTGTGCCTTGTGTTACCTTGCTTGTCCCTTGTCTTGTCTTGTGCCTTGCCTTGCATTGCTTTGCCTTGCCTTGTGCCTTGCATTGCCTTGCACCTTGCCTTGCCTTGCGCTGACTTGTGCATTGATTTGCCTTGCCCTCCCTTGGCTTGTGCCTTTCCTTTCCTTATGCCTTGCCTTGCTTTGCCTCCCTTGTGACTTGCTTGTGCCTTGGTTTGCCTTGCCTTGTGCCTTGTGCCTTGTGCCTTGCCTTGTGCCTTCCCTTGCCTTGTGCCTTGCCTTGCACCTTGCCTTGCTTATGCCTTACCTTGCGCCTTGCCTTGTGCCTTGCCTTGTCTTGCACCTTACCTTGACTTGTGCCCTCCCTTGCGTTGTGCCTTGCGTTGTTCTGTGCTTTATCTTGCCTTGTCTCGTGCCTTGCTTTGGCTTGCCATGACCAGGGTCTTTCCTTGCTGTGCCTTGCTTTCTGCCTTGCCTTGCCTTGCTTTTTGCTTTGCCTTGCCCTCCTTGTGCCTTGCCTTGACTTGCCTTGTGCCTTAACTTGTGCCTTGCCTTGTGTCTTGTGTTGCCTTGTGTTGCCTTGCGTTGCCTTGCTTGTGCCTTGTCTTGTGCCTTGCCTTATGCCTTGCATTGCCTTGCGCCTTGCCTTGCATTGACTTGTGCATTGATTTGCCTTGCCTTCCCCTGGCTTGTGCCTTGCCTTGCCTTGTGCCTTGCCTTGCTTTGCCTCCCTTGTGACTGACTTGTGCCTTGGTTTGCCTTGCCTTGTGCCTTGCATTGCCTTGCCTTGTGCCTTGCATTGCCTTGCCTTGTGCCTTGCCTTGCTTTGCCTTGTGCCTTGATTTGCCTTGCCTTGTGCCTTGTGTTGTTCTTTGCCTTATATTGCCTTGCCTGCTGCCTTGCTTTGGCTTGCCATGACTAGGGCCTTGCCTTGCTGTGCCTTGCTTTCCCTTGCCTTGCTTTTTGCTTTGCCTTGCCATTCCCTTGTGCCCTGCCTTGACTTGCCTTGTGCCTTGCCTTTTGCCTTCACTTGTCTTGCTTTGTGCCTTGCCTTGCCTGGTGCCTTGACTTGCTTGGTGCCTTGACTTGCTTTGTGCCTTGCTTCCCTTCACTTGCCTTGTGCCTTGCCTTGCCTTGCCTTGTGCTTTCCCTTGCCTTGCCTTTTGCTTTCCCTTGCCTGGCCTTGTACCTTGATTTGACTTGCCTTGTTCCTTGCCTTGGCTTGTGCCTTGCCTTGCCTTGCCTTGTAACTTGCCTTGCCTTGTGCCTTGCCTCACCATGCCTTGTCTTGCCTTCCCTTGCTTTGCCTTGTGCCTTGCCTTGTCTTGTGCCTTGCTTTGTGCCTTACCTTCCCTTGCTTTGTGCCTTGCCTTCCCTTCTGCTTTGCCTTGTGCCTTGCCTTGCCTTGTGTCTTGCATTGCCTTACTTTGCCTTGCCTTGTGCCTTGCCTTGCTTTGCCTTGACTTGTGTGTTAATTTGTCTTGCGTTGTTACTTACCTTCCCTTGTCTTGTGCCTTGCCTTGCCTTGCTTTGCCTTGTAACTTGCCTTGCCTTGTGCCTTGCCTTGCCATGCTTTTCTTGCCTTGCCTGTCTCACCTTGCATTGTCTTGTGCCTTGCCCGTGCTTTGCCTGTGGCTTGCCTTGCCTTGCCTTGTGCCTTGTGTTGCCTTGCCTTGTGCCTTGTGTTGCCTTGCCTTGTGCCTTGCCTTGCCTTGTGCCTTGCCTTGCCTTGTGCCTTGCCTTGCCTTGTGCCTTGCCTTGCCTTGCTTGTGCCTTGCCTTGCCTTGCCTTGTGCCTTGCTTTCGTTTGCCTTTAATTGGGCCTTGCATGGCTGTGCTTTGCTTTTTGCCTTGCCTTGTCTTGCCTTGTGCCTTGCCTTGCTTTTATACTTCGCCTTGCCATTCCCTTGTGCCTTGCCTTACCTTGCTTTTTCGCTTTGCCTTGCCATTCCCTTGTGCCTTGCCTTGCCTTATCTTGCCTTGCCTTGCATGTTGCCTTGCCTTGCCTTATCTTGCCTTGCATGTTGCCTTGCCTTGCCTTTTGCCTTCACCTGCCTTGCTTTGTGCCTTGCCTTGCCTTGCTTCGTGCCTTGCCTTGCCTTGCTTCGTGCTTTGCCCTGCGTTGCCTCACCTTGCATTGCCTGGTGCCTTGACTTGCCTTGCCTTCCCTTCACTTGCCTTGCCTTTTGCCTTGCCTGGCTTTGCCTTGCCTTGTGCTTTGCCTTGCCTTGTGCCTTGCCTTGCCTTGTGCCTTGCCTTGTGCCTTGCCTTGCCTTGTGCCTTGCCTTGCCTTGCCTTGTGCTTTGCATTGTCTCGCCTTGTGCCTTGATTTACCATGCCTTGTGCCTTGCCCTGTTTTGGCTTGTGCCTTGCCTTGCCTTGCCTTGTGTCTTGCCTTGCCTTGTGCCTTGCTTTGCCTTGCTTTGCTTTGCCTTGTGCCTAGCATTGCCTTGCCTTTTGCCTTGCCTTGTGCCTTGCTTTGCCTTGCCTTGTGACTTGCCTTGCCTTGTGCCTTGCCTTGCTTTGCCTTGCCATGCCTTGTTTTGTGCTTTGCCTTGCCTTGCTTATGCCTTGCCTTGCCTTGACTTGTGCGTTGGTTTGCCTTGCTTTGTTACTTGCCTTCCCTTGGCTTGTGCCTTGTCTTGCCTTGTGCCTTGCTTGTGCCTTGGTGTCCCTTACCTTGTGCCTTACCTTGTCTTGCTTTGCCTTGTACCTTGCATTGCCTTGCCTTGTCCCTTCCCTTGCCTTGTACCTTGATTTGCCTTGTCTTGTGTCATGCCTTGTAACTTGCCTTGCCCTGTGCCTTGCCTTGCCATATCTTGTCTTGCTTTGCCTTTTGCCTTGCCTTATATTGTGCCTTGCCTTGCCTTAAGTTGACTTTGCCTTGCCTTGGCTTGCCTTGCCTTGTGCCTTGCATTCCCTTGCCTTGTGCATTTCCTTGCCTTGCCTCGTACCTTGCCTTGCCATTCCTTGTCATCCTTTGCCTTTATTTGTCTTACCTTGTGCCTTGCCTTGCCTTTGCTTTGTCATGCCTTGTCTTTCCTTGTGTTTTCTTGCCTTGTGCCCTGCTTTGTTTCGTGCTTTGCCTTGCCCTGTGCCTTGTCTGCCTTGTTCTGTGCCTTACCTTGCCTTGCCTCATGGCTCGCTTCGGCTTGCCTTGACTTGGGCCTTGCCTTGCTATGTCTTGCTCTTTGCTTTGTTTTGACTTGCCGTGCCTTGTGCCTTGCCTTGCCTTGCTCTTTGCTTTGCCTTGCTCTTTGCTTTGCCTTGCCATTCCCTTGCACCATGCATTGCCTTTTGCCTTCACTTGCCTTGCCTTTTGCCTTCACTTGCCTTGCCTTGTGCCTTGTATTGCCCTGCCTGGTGCCTTGATTTGCCTTGTGTCTTGTGTTCCCTTGGCTTGCTTTTTGCCTTCACTTGCCTCGCCCTGTGCCTTGTGTTGCCTTGCCTTGCCTTGTGCCTTGTGTTGCCCTGCCTTGCCTGGTGCCTTGATTTGCCTTGTGTCTTGTGTTCCCTTGGCTTGCCTTTTGCTTGCCTTGACTTGCCTTGCCTTGCCTGGCTTTGTCTTGCCTTGTGCCTTGCCTTGCCTTCCCTTGCGCCTTGACTTGCCTTGCCTTGTAACTTGCCTTGCCTTGAGCCTTGCCTTGCCTTGCCTTCCCTTGCCTTCCCTTGCCTTCCCTTCCCTTGCCTAGCCTTCCCTTGCCTTGCCTGGTGCCTTGCCTGGTGCCTTGCCTGGTGCCTTGCCTTGTGCCTTGGCTTGCCCTGCACTTTGCATTGCCTTGCTTTGTGTTGTGCCTTGCCTTGCCTTGCTTTGTGCATTGCCTTGACTTACTTTGTGCCTTGCCTTGCCTTCCACCTTGCCTTGCCTTGCTTTGTGCCTTGCCTTGCCTTGCCTTGCGCCTTGCCTTCCACCTTGCCTTGTGCCTTGCCTTGCTTTGCCTTCTGCCATGCCTTCTGCCTTGCCTTGCCTTCCTTTGCCTTGCCTTGAGCCTTGCCTTGACTTGACTTGTGCGTTGATTTACCTTGCCTTCTTACTTGCGTTCCCTTGGCTTGTGGCTTGTCTTGCCTTGCCTTGTGCCTTGCTTGTGCCTTGGTGTCCCTTACCTTGT